TTTTGACTTTGGTTTCTATTGAAATTGTTATTTTGTGAATGTGACTGTCTGAATTGTCCACTGAAATCTTTGTTTTGGTTTTGTCTGAATTTTCTACTGAAATTATTATTTTGTGACTGTGCTTGTCTGAATTGGCCACTGGAGTTGTGGTCATGATTATAGTTCAGTCCGTTATTAGTCGAGTATTGCTTAATTATTTTATTTTGGCTAACAAAATTATTTTTATTTCTTTGGAACTTGTTAAGCCAACTTGGCATCATAATATTTTTCTTTTTTATATGTATTAATATTAACTAATGTTATTTTTTTAAATTAGAGATCAATCAAGTGTAACAAATGTTCTGTATCACGATAGAATAATCAATTGTAACAATTTATTTGTAACATTTGTATTGTTTTTAAAAACCTGTTTTTACATTGTTGTTGCTATTTTTTATATACGAAGAAATCAAATTATGGTTCGTGCGTTCACGTGCTTAACGAAATATCAATTGTCGATTTTTTAATTAATTTTTTTCAATTTTAACAAACCCATTCGAACCGTGGGTAAAAAAAAGGAGGTGAATTGGTGCAAGAGCTCAGTATTTAAGGTTTGATCATAAACTAGGAATACTTTACAATTCACTCTTTTTTACATTGGCGACATTGGTGACAGGACACCGTTTTGCATAAACGTTGACAAACGTGCACTGAAACCTTACATACGGATTTCGTGCATTGTTGGTGTTTTTTTCATTAAACGTGAACAAGAGATCACAGAACTGTTACGTGGATAATTTTCATTTGCTGTAATAATGTCTGAACCATCTTTATCATCAAATACCGGTAGTCAAGGTAATGCCTCAAATAATAATGTTTCTAATCCTGTTCCAAATATAGATGAGCTTAGACAACAACTTGCGTCTTCAAAGGGGAGCCTTACACGAATTGAGAACATTATTGGTGCGTCAAATAATTTGTCTCCTACTGAACTTGAGTGCAGGTTAGGTATGGTCGAATCGTATTATAAACAAGCGTCTTATTATCAAGGTCAAATTGACCGTTTGTTACCACAAGATACATGTCGTTCGGAAATTGACGAACTATATGTCATAGTAAAATCACGTATTCTAAATCTTCTCGGCAACAGAAGAAGCTCACAATCACATGAACATACATTTTCAATGCCTCAAATGCAGTACAATCGTTTGCCTAAATTACGTTTGCCGAGATTTGATGGCAAATATCTCGAATATAAAAACTTCATAAACTCTTTCACGAATCTAGTTCACAGCGATCAATTCATTCCACCTATTGAGAAGTTCAACCATCTGTTATCGTGCCTATCCGGCGAAGCTTTGTCAACAATTAAGTCGTCCCAAGTAACTGAAGAAAACTATGGCAAAGCACTAGACAGATTGAAAGAGCGATATGACAATGATACAATCATTTTTTTAGAAAACATTTCATCTATTTTCGAAGTGGATAAAATTTCTAAGGCTGATTCTAAACAACTTAGACATATCACTGATACTATCTCAGCTTTGTACAATTCGTTACAATCACTTGGAAGTTTTGAAAAAATTTGTGATGCAATTATCATACATCTTACAATTACCAAAGTTGATCAAGAAACTAAAAAGAAATGGGATGAATATTTAGATTACTCTAATCTTCCATCGTGGAAACAATGTTGTGCTATGTTTGATAAGCGATGCCAACAACTCGATGCTCAAACAAGGCATAATGTGAAACCGCAATCAATTCAAACTTATCAGCCGCATTCATTACAAAAGGTTAGCAAGCCAAAGCAGTATTCATTTGCGATCAAAAATATTCCTGAAAGGTCGTGTACACATTGTTCCAAATTAGGTCATAATATTTCTACTTGTATCAATTTCATCGCACTTCCATTAGAACAACGTCGTGATCAAGTACAACAGCACCAACTGTGTTTCAATTGTTTATCAAACCTCCACACTGTATCACAATGTAGCTCAAAATATTCTTGTCGATTTTGTAAACAACGTCATCATACGTTGCTCCACAAACATGATTTAAATACGTTTGTAAATTCTAACATTTCATCATCAAGAAATGATCAACTTAGTAATCCAGTTACACATGCTACTTCACAAAAGAGTGTTAAGAAGACAAATAGTACCATTATTTTAGCAACAGCTCTAATTCTCATAAAAGATTCTACCGGAACGTACCAAATGGGCCGAGCGCTTTTAGATTCATGTTCGCAAGTGAATTTCATTACCGATTCTCTAGCACGGGCTCTAAACTTAAAAAGGTCGAGATCTGAAATAGATATCGTTGGTGTTGGTTCTTCTGAGCTGAAAATTCAACATAATACGCAAACTACAATCCGATCACGGATAACCGAGTTTGAAACATCACTAGATTTTCTCATTTCAAAGAACATTAGTAGCTATCATCCAGATAAAGCATTTTCGTTGAAAGATTTAAATATTCCATCACATATGGAACTTGCAGATCCAGAATTTAATGTCGCTAAAGGTATTGATATGTTACTTGGAGCAGAAGCTTTCTTTTTGTTGTTAACGCAAGGTCGAATGTCTTTGGGTAAAAACTTACCAATTTGACAAAATACTGAATTTGGTTGGATTGTATCCGGAAGGTATGCTTTGTCACATAAACCAATTGAAGCAGTCAGTCATTGCACCATCACTTCAATCGAAGCTTTGAACAAAAATATTGAAAAAATGTGGCAACTAGAAGACGTCTCTAATAAACGTCAGAAGTGGTCAGAGGAACACATCATGTGTGAACAACATTTCATTGATAATGTATCTGTAAACTGTGATGGAAGAATTATGGTAAAACTACCATTTAAAAATAGTACAGATTTATTAGGTAACTCTAAAGATATTGCGTTACGTCGATTTTATGCTTTGGAAAAAAAGCTTGAAAAGAATATTCAGCTCAAAGAAGAATATTCAAAATTCATGAAAGAATACGAAGAATTGGGACATATTGTATTGATTCATAGTCCAAATTTATCAATACCTCATTATTATATTCCGCATCACTGCGTGCTGAAGTCAAGTAGTGAATCAACTAAGTTACGCGTGGTGTTCGATGCTTCTTTCAAAACGGCATCACAGGTCTCACTAAATGACATCCTTGCAGTGGGTCCTAATATACAAAATGAATTACTCATTAATCTGCTACGTTTTCGTTGCCATAAATATGGACTTATGGCGGACATAACGAAAATGTATCGTCAGATTATGGTACATCATCAGGATAGGAATTATCAGTTAATTTTTTGGCGCAATGACAAGTCGTTACCCGTATCAACATACATGTTAAATACAGTGACTTACGGAACTGCTGCTGCTCCATTTCTAGCTATACGTAGTTTATCCTATGCAGTCGATACATATCCTGGTAACCATGAGCTTGGAAAATCAATAATAAAAGACGATTTTTATGTTGATGATATGTTAACAGGGGCTGATGATTTACTTCGCCTTCAACAAATTAAAAATGAAGTTACTGACATACTTCAATACTTTCAAATGCCGTTATCCAAATGGCATAGTAATCACCCTGATTTAAATTGTTCTGCAGCGTGCTCCATCACTACCAATAGTGATGTAACTAGTGCACTTGGTGTAATTTGGTGTCCAATTGATGATTATTTTACGTTCAATTTTAAATTGAATGATTCTTCAAATACCATTTCCAAGCGATCAATCTTATCTACAGTCGCAGCATTATTTGATCCAATGGGGTTGATTAGTCCGATTATTATAAAGGCTAAGATACTTCTTCAGAAACTGTGGATCTTGAAGTATGATTGAGATGACGCAGTATCTGACACAATTTCACAGGCTTGGAGAGAAATTATCATCAATTTTGAACAAATATCTACTTTCAAAATTCCTCGTTTTGTTTTAATGTTAAATCCAGTCAGTATAGAAGTTCATGGATTCGCTGACGCTTCAACAAAGGCTTATGGTTGCTGCATATATTTTAAATGCACGGATGCAATTGGCAATATATGTACCAAACTCGTGACTTTCAAATCTAAAACTGCTCCTTTGAAACAACGGTCACTTCCCCGTTTAGAGCTTTGCGCGGCTCACCTTCTGTCTAAATTCTGGCATCAACTTCAACCTAATTTCAAAACGTATTTTTTTGGACGGATTCACAAATTACGTTGCATTGGATTCATACTCATTCTTCAACATTATCAACATTTGTTGGAAATAGAATAGCAGAAATACAAGAATTGACTAATGGCTTTGAATGGAGATATATACCATCAGAATTAAACCCAGCAGATCTAGTATCTCGTGGATGTTCTACGCGAGATTTAGTTAAGTCCCAATGGCTAATGGGACCATCGTTCCTCAACAGCTCAAAAATTGATTGGCCTTTGGAATTTACTTCGTATTCATTGACTGATGAAGAAGTCAATTTAGAAAAAAAAAAACGGCATTTATAATTGAAAATAAACCCGTACCATACGTTTTGCTTAAAATAAACAATATTAGTAACTACTTAACATGTTTAAGAGTAATAGCATACATTATCCGCTTTAAAACTCGATTGAAAAATGAATACATTTCTGCTACTGAGCTCGACAATGCTCTTCATATAGTAGTGTGGGTAATTCAACAATACAGATTTAGTGATGAAATTAAACAATTGGAACAGGTGGGTCATGTTAAAGGAAATTAGCTACATTAGCGCCATTCATTGATAAAAGCGGAAATTGTTTCTTATTACGTGTAGGAGGTCGTCTAACAAATTCTGATACACCAGAAACATTTAAACATCAATTGTTGTTACCAAAGGATGAACCATTTGTTCGACATCTGGTAATGTACTTTCATCGGGTTAACTATCATGTTGGCCCTCGTGCATTAGTTGCAACTATTCAACAACGTTTTTGGATAATAAATTGCAAATCATTAGCAACTTCAGTTATAAAAAAATGTGTCCATTGTGCACGATATAAAGTCAAACTAATCAATCAAATAATGGCACCTTTACCAAAGGAAAGGGTTACACCAAGCAGACCTTTCACAGTTACAGGCGTTGATTTTGCTGGGCCTATTTTTACATATTTAAAAATTCATGGTAAAGCACCGTATAAATCATACATTGCGGTTTTTATTTGTTTTGCTACTAAAGCAGTTCATTTAGAGGCCGTCACTGATTTAACTAGCGATCCATTCATTGCTGCTTTAAAGCGATTTGTGGGACGACGAGGTTTGCCAAGGATAATACATTGTGACAATGCGACAAATTTTGTGGGTTCTAAAACAAAATTAATAGAACTTCGAAAACATTTTCATCAAGATTGCATGAAAAATGCAATTATTTCTCACTGTGCAAATTCAGGAATAGAATTTTCATTTATTCCTCCTCGCGCCCCACATTTTGGGGGTCTTTGGGAGGCTGCTGTAAAAACTGCCAAAGGCCATCTATATCGCACATTGTCTAACGCTCATCTTACGTTCGAAGAACTTACAACATCATTAGTCGAGATTGAAGCAATCATGAATTCTCGACCGCTCACAGCAACTTCAACAAACCCCAATGATTTCGAATCTCTGACGCCTGCGCATTTTTTGATTGGTACATCATTACAAGGTATTCCTGAGCCGTTTTTAAAGAACGAAAACATTGCACATGCCCAACGCTGGCAACGAATATCAGCAGCAAAAACACACTTTTGGAAGAGATGGCAGAGCGAATATTTAGCAGACTTGCAGAACCGATATCGTTGGAAATATGATCAAGATAACGTTGCAGTTGGCAACTTGGTTATCATTTATGACGAGCACGCTCCTCCGATGAAATGGGTAATGGGTCGTATTGTGAGTGTGAAAACAGGCGCTGACGGACGTGTTCGCGTTGCTGATGTACAAACACCAACAACAGTTTTACGACGCCCTGTTGCTAAGTTGGCACTTATTCCAATTAATCGAAATTTAATATTTCAATAGGGGCCGGGATGTTAAGCCAACTTGGCATCATATTTTTCTTTTTTATATGTATTAATATTAACTAATGTTATTTTTTAAATTAGAGATCAATCAAGTGTAACAAATGTTCTGTATCACGATAGAATAATCAATTGTAACAATTTATTTGTAACATTTGTATTGTTTTTAAAAACCTGTTTTTACATTGTTGTTGCTATTTAATATAAACGGAGAAATAAATTATGGTTCGTGTTTTCACGTGCTTAACGAAATATCAATTGTCGATTTTTTAATTCATTTTTCAATTTTAACAAACCCATTCGAACCGTGGGTAAAAAAAAGGAGGTGAATTGGTGCAAGAGCTCAGTATTTAAGGTTTGATCATAAACTAGGAATACTTTACAATTCACTCTTTTTTACA